CTTCGCTGTTCTTCGCTCCCCCAAGTTTGATGCTGCTGCTTTTCTTCTGGTTCTCTTCTCAATTTCGCTGCCCAGCAAGACCTCCAGATAAGCTCCAGAATCTCACCCCCCAAAAATACGGAACTAAATTCCCCCAAGAACTCCCCTAACAGAACGATAAAGAACCTTTTATTCATCTCAGCTGCTCCGAGTATTTCGCTCCCATCCTCAGCTGATTCCATCTCTATCTTTTCTTGCTTGACAATTTGATTCCAGAAATTTCGCTCAAGGTAGTTTGTTTTGTGTCTTATCGGCAAACAGTGAGAGCAAAGAAGAGTTTTGAGCTCTGTTACAGATTGTTATATTTTAAGCCCAACTATAAATGTTTACCCAGTAAAATAATTTTGGGCTTGAAATACTTGAGAGTCAACAACTTGCAATTTGCTTCTCTTAACCGGAAGTGTCGTAAAATGAAATTTGTACCAATATTTCCTTTCCTGCACACAATTAAATAAAATAGTAGTAGTACGTGTCTCGGGAAGAAAATTACTTAATATATCAATAAACCATTAAATATCAATATAAAATCGAGAGTTTAATGAAATAAAATAATATACTTTTATGACTCTATCAAACTCCCCCCAAGCTTATTATTTTGCTTGTCCTCAAGCAAAGACATGAAATCGCAAAGTAGTTAGACTATTGATGTAGCAGTACACAATTAGAATACTCTCTTTTGCTCAAAACAGCTTCAAGTCAAGTAATGTATGCAGAAGTCATATGTTAAGCCAATACCGACTCTTAAAACAATTACAACCTAGCTTCCATCAACAATGTAGTGGAGTAACTCAAAGATCCTTAGGACTTGAATAAGAATGCAGTGGTGTCAAGGTAAGTGAGGTTTTAGAGAGTGTTTTGGAGTGTGGTAATAAAGAGTAAGATTAGCAAAGCAAATCAACACAACAAACACAACATAAGAGCTCATATCACAGCACTTGACTTCACGATATTATTATTTTTTTTTTTTTAATGTGTTTCATGACTCTTAATGTCAAGTACCTGTTAAGTGACCCATGTAGCGAGCTTTCAGCCAGTGACTCCCGGTCTAGTTGGCCCAAGGCACTAGGTTTTAAGATACCCCTACGGATTTACTAACTCGAGTTACTCAATCACGATACATAAAACATCACACGTACTTATATGGGTTCTTTTCTTTATTTTATTTTTCTTTTTTTTTATAACCCATACATTGGTACGTAGAGCCTTTAACATGAAACTTTTAAAAATATAAACTTCACCACCTTACATCATTACCACAACCATAATCCAATTTACCCTTCGATATGCTCTACTAATCTTATAGGTAAGTATTTCATGTTTCAGACATTTTGCAAGAAAAGTAGGTCTATAAAGCTCAAATTGGGTTTAATAATGGATCATGTCATGGGTAAGTTTTTTGGCTTATGTGGTGTAAAACTTTGATGCCTAACTCATTTCTTTCTTTTTACCCCACCACAAGCTGACTTCCACCAGGCTAGCTATTGTTTACGGAATCAATTTTATTTGTTTTGTTTTTTTTTTTTCTGCATACATACTGGTCTATCAGCCAAAGTTAAGCATTGTAGAGTGAATGTACTGTTCATATGCAAAGCACTGTCCAAATTTTATTGTCAGACTCAAGACAATACCATACCATACCCAGAGACATACCAAGAGACCGAATATAATGCATTCCCCCCAAGCTTAATTCACACATTGCCCTCAATGTGTGATTGTAAAAAAAATAAGGGGATAAAAATAGAAAGAGACAAGGAAACGAGCTCACCAGATGAAGTTGAATATTGTAGGGTACCAAATGTGTAGCCAACCTGATGGCATCCCCCCAAGCTTGGACTTGCTCACAAAGTCTTGCTGTAAACACATTGGAGACCACCCTTTCAATCTTCTAAAAAAAAATGCTTATTCTACAGCTAGATAGATAGCAGTGGAAGTGAATGTGTCTTTACGTAAAATGCCTCCATATTCTTGTTGTACGCTCCAGGTTGCTAAAAATGGATACCCACACGATTTCATATAATCTGGCAGCAAATGTATGTGCTCCATTAAATGTGTCCTGTAACAAACAATACCGATTTCAAGCAAATTAAATGTGTCTGTTCCCAGAAGACTATGAAGGATTTGAAAATAAGCTAGCATATCAGAAATCTGGAAGCTCTCTAGTTTTGTTTTTTTACACACTACATAACAGTTAAAATAAATTGATAAAAAAAATGAAAAACAATCAAATTATAATCCTAAATTTGGGCTGCCTCCCAAGAGCGCTTTGTTTATCGTCGTTAGCTCGATGTCTTTCCAGCATACTAGTCTTCATAATTTGGAGCTTCTAGCTCCATCAGTTCAATGTTCTGGACCTGATAACCTTCATAATAAGACTTGAGTCGATGACCGTTCACCTTGAATTCCTTCCCTGTGTCCTCACTACGAATCTCCCCCGCACCATGGTCATATACCTTGGTAATAATAAAGGGCCCCACCCATCGAGAACGGAGTTTGCCAAGAAAGAGTTTGAGCTGAGAATGATACAAGAGAACTTTCTGGCCAACTATAAATGTCTTTCGTGTGATGCGCTGATCATGGAATACCTTAGTCTTCTCCTTGTAAATTTTTGCATTCTCAAAAGCATCATTTCGGATTTCCTCAAGATCTTGTAATTGAAGTTTCCTTTGCTCACCTGCTGCATCCATCTCCATATTGCATTGCTTCACGACCCAAAAAGCTTTGTGTTCCAATTCTACTAGAAGGTGACAAGGTTTACTGAACACTAGTCTGTAAGGAGACATCCCAATCGGAGTTTTATATGTTGTTCTGTACGCTCACATAGCATCGTTGAGGCGAAGACTCCAATCTTTCCTGTTTGGATTCACTGTCTTCTTTAGAATGGATTTGATTTCCCGATTGGAAACTTCAGCTTGTCCATTTATTTGCGGGTGGTATGCTGTGGAGACTCTATGGAACACATTGTACTTATTTAAAAGAGCCCCTACGGTTTTATTACAGAAGTGTGTCCCCTTATCTTTGATAATGGCCCTCGGAAATCCGTATTCAGCGAAAATATTCGATTTCAAAAATTTTGCAACCACTTTAAAATCATCAGTATGGGTGGCTATAGCTTCCACCCATTTCGAAACATAATCGACAGCCAGCAAAATATATTGAAAACCGAAAGAAGAGGGGAAGGGTCCCATGAAATCCATACCCTAAACATCAAAGATTTCACAAAACAAAATAGGAGTTTGGGGCATTTCATTCCTAGGACCTAATGTACCTGTCCTTTGACAATTATCACGGGCCTTACATATATCATATGCATCTTTGAATATAGAGGGCCAGTAATATCCGCTTTCCAAAACCTTGCGTGCAGTTCTCTTGGGTCCAAAATGTCCTCCACAAGCATAAGAATGACAAAAGGTTAGTATAGAAAGAAATTCAGAATCAGGTACGCACCTTCTGATCAGTTGATCAACATAGTATTTCCAGAGATACAGGTCATCCCATATATAATACTTCGCTATGCTCCGCATCCGATCCTTTTGTGCCTTTGTGTAGTTTGCTTGAAACTTCCCAGATACTAAAAAATTTACCAAATCAGCATACCAAGGAGTTCCTGAGCTTAAGGCATGAAGATGCTCATCGAGGAACTCTTCATTGATTGGGGCTTTATCTTCATCATCTTCAATAACTAACCTGCTCAATTGATCAGCAATACTATTGTCAGAACCTTTTTTATCTTTTATTTCAACATTAAATTGTTGAAGCAATAAAATCCAACATAGCCTAGGTTTGGATACATTCTTTGACCATAAATATTTCAGCGCTGCATGATCAGTAAACACAACAATTTTAGTACCCAATAAATAAGACCTGAATTTATCTAAAGCAAAAACTACAGCTAAAAGTTCTTTCTCAGATGTAGTATAATTAGCTTGAGCCGCATCCAAAGTCCTCGAGGCATAGTAGATAGCATGAGGAACTTTTCCAATTCGCTGGCCTAACACTGCCCCTACACCATAATGAGAAGCATTGCACATCAGCTCGAACGGGAGCTCCCAGTTAGGAGGTTGTAGAACAGGGGCAATGACCAACTTGTCTTTCTGCTTGTCAAATGCTTGCTTACAGGCCTCATCAAAGTGGAACTCCACATCTTTTTGGAGTAGTCTGCATAGTGGTTGTGCAATCTTCAAAAAGCCTTCAATAAACCTTCGATAGAAACCTGCATGGCCAAGAAAAGAACGAACTTCCCGCACAGAGGCGGGGTAAGGCAGAGAAGAAATAAGATCTATTTTAGCTTTATCGACTTTTATTCCTTCAGAAGACACAATATGGCCTAAAACTATACCTTGTTGAACCATGAAATGACATTTTTCAGAATTAAGCACAATGTTAGTTTCAAGACAACGTTTAAGAACCAAAGTGAGGTGTTCTAAGAAACTATCAAAAGAATCTCCATGCACAGTGAAATCATCCATGAAAACTTCTATGAAATTTTCAAGATAATCTGAAAAGATGCTTACTATACATCTCTGAAAAGTCACTGGAGCATTGCACAGTCCAAATGGCATACAACGATACGCAAATGTGCCGTATGGGCATGTGAACGTCGTTTTTTCTTGATCCTCCGGAGCTATAGGTACTTGCACATAACCTGAATATCCGTCAAGAAAACAGTAATAAGCATGACCAGCAATACGTTCTACCATTTGATCAATAAAGGGTAAGTGAAAATGATCTTTTTGAGTCATAGAATTAAGTTTTCTGTAATCTACACAAACTCTCCACCCATTTTGTACTCGGGTGGGAACCATTTCTCCCTTATCGTTTTCCACCACTGTGACTCCTGACTTTTTTGGGACCACTTGTAAGGGACTGACCCAAGGGCTATCTGATATAGGGTATATCACCCCTACTTCAAGAAGCTTCATTACTTCTTTCTTCACCACTTCCGTCATAGGTGGATTAAGTCGTCACTGCACTTGTCTCACAGGTTTAGCTCCCTCTTCTAATAAGATTCTATGTTGACACATAGAGGGTCTAATTCCTCTTATATCAGCAATCGTCCACCCTAGATTTGTTTTATGCTCCTTGAGAACTTGCACCGGCTTTTGCTCTTGAGTCGAAGTTAGATTACTCGCAATTATGACTGGCAGAGTGTCATTTTCTCCCAAAAATGCATACTTGAGATGGTCTGGCAGTGGCTTTAGTTCCACTTTAGGGGCCTGCACAATAGAAGGCAAAAGTCTGTTAGATGTGACAGACAATTTCATAAAACGATCTGCATACCTTCCTTGCTTATTTGGAAGCACTTCCAAGGAAGAGAAAGCTTCCTTGATCTCGTCTTCAAGCTCAAAATGTTCCCGCAAGTAGTATATTTCTCTTTTTCCACAGGTTTAGTCAAAACAACATCTAACCCATCATGACCAGAGAGACAAAATACTTGCTCAATTAGTGCATCAATGACATCTATACTAGAAACAGATTCACAATCAGAGGGGTATCTCATGGCATCAAATAAATTAAACCGGATAACCTCCCTTTCAAATTCCATGGTTAACACCCCACTGTGAACATCAATTTTAGTTCTGGATGTTTTCAGAAAAGGTCTTCCTAATAAGATAGGTGTTGCACTAGGGGATTCATCATTTGGCATATCTAAAACATAAAAGTCAGCAGGAAATACCAATTCATTCACTTGCACTAAGACATCCTCAACTACTCCTACAGGGTATGTATTAGAACGGTCGGCAAGCTGAATAATCACTCGAGTGTCTTTCAAAGGTCCTAAGTTCCGAGCTTTATAGATATATAAAGGCATGACATTGATAGAAGCTCATAAGTCTAGCATGCATTTATCGTATCTCGTGTTACCTATTTTACAGGGTATAGTAAAAATACTTGGATCCTTGCACTTTGGAGGAACTTTCCTCTGTAAAAAAGCAGACACATTCTCACTTACACTGACTTTTTCATCTCCACTCAATCTCCTCTTGTTAGTGCACAACTCCTTCAAGAACTTTGCATACCGCGGCACTTGTCTTATAGCTTCTAGTAGAGGTATGTTCACCTCAACCTTGCGAAAAATGTCTAGGGTCTCTTTCTCCTTTTCATGATCTTTCTTCTTATTCTTAGATGATAACATGCTAGGAAATGGAACAGAAGAAGAAAACTGATTAGTATTAGGAGAAACAACATCACTTACCTTAGGGGGCTGCTTATCTTGCTCTGGAACAATAGTCTCTTGTTCCTCTTGGTGTTCTGCCAGCCCTTCAGTCTTTTTCGTTGGGATCTCTAATTGCTTGCCACTTCTAAGTGATATTGCACTCGCGTTCTCCTTTGGATTTCTCTCTGGTTGACTCGGAAGCTTGTTAGAGTTCTGAGCTTGGAGCTTTCCCACTGTGTTAGCTTACTGAGAAACTTGGTTCTCCAAGTTCTTTAGACCACTTCTTGTCTCTTGCTGAAAATGCAAAGTGTTGTCAGCCATTGCCTTCACAATATCTTCCAGAGACATGCTACCAGATTGTGGCTGGGAAACTTGCTGATTTTGAGGTTGCGGCTGATATTATGGTTGCTGATGAAAACCAGATGGAGGATTAGATGCTTGTTGTTGCTGGAAAGCTGGTGGTCTGAGGTTAGAGTTGCCTGCCTGCTGCTGAGCATTACTGTATCTCAGTTTTAGATGATCTCTCCACCCCGGATTATAAGTCTGAGAGAACGAATCATAACGTCTTTGCTGCCCCTGACCACCATCAATAGAATTCACTTGTTCTTCTTGCATAGTAGGGCACATATCAGTTGGGTGTCCTATCATTGAATAGAGGCCACATGCTTTTTCTTGCCCTTTTTCGATCATTACTCGCTCCACTAAGGAAGTGAGTTTAGCTACTTGTTGCTCGAGATTAGAACTCACCACTTCATTAACTTGACGTACAGAAGTGGACTTGATATTTCGACCTCCTCGATACTGAGAGTTTTCAGCCATGTTTGCAATCAGTTTCTTTGCATCTGCGGGTGTTTTGTCAACCAGTGCTCCACCACTTGCTGCATCAACTAAATTCATGTCTGTCTCCTTAAGTCCTTCGTAAAAGTACTGTACTAATAATTTCTCACTGATCTGATGGTTTGGGCAACTATCACATAGTTTCTTGAAACGCTCCCAGTACTCACGAAGTGTCTCTGCATCGTCCTGTCGAATCCCACATATTTCTTTCCTGATATTGGCTATCAAAGATGCTGGAAAATATCTTTCTACGAATACTTTTAACATTTGATCCCATGTTGTGATAGTTCCAGCAGGTACTTCAAACAACCACTCTTTAGCAGCATCAGACAAGGCAAAAGGAAATGCATGCCTTTAACTTGAGTTGGTCGAGGGTGACCCCAGCTGGTTTCATCCTCGCACATGCTATGTGAAATTCCTTTAAAAATCTGCTAGCTTCATTCATGTGAACTGAACCTAAGGAGTTAGTATTACGGAAACCTGAAAATGTGGGAAGAGCTCTATTCAACCATGGCTTGATCTCAATTTCTGCCTCATCGTGTACTATGCACAATAAATTTGGATCAAACGTTGGAGCTGCGAGCTGCTTTAGTGTTTGATCACCCATCTCAAAAATATATTCACCCTCCTCGTCCGAAAATGAACTTTCACTGTGAGGTAACTGAATATGATGAGCTTGCTCCAGTATTTGAGCACGAGTCCTTTTAGCTACAGGAAGAGTATAAAAGGATTAATTATAAGTCCTTGATTCCTTGCTGCTAATTCCCTTAATCTTTGATTCTTTGAGCTTCTGTCACACATACACAAACAAGAAACTAGATGACAAGTTAGTAGGAAAAGTTATCAAAAACACAAGTAATAATGTCATAAAAGGCCAATTCCCCGACAACGGCGCCAAAATTTGGTACGATTGTCGTGTGTCTACCAAAAATAAACCTAACTCTGACCTCCTAAAAATGTAGTAGGGTAAGATAGGGTCGATCCCATAGAGAATTAGATTATTAAATTATTACTTGTGTGTGTTAGAAACTCCTGTTTTGAACAATGACTATTACGATCTAATATATAAAACTATGGACTTGAAAATAAGCTAAGTACGGAGATGTAAAATTAACAGTAAGAATAAATATTAAAAATCAAGAATGACGAAATAGGGATTGGGAGATACAATATAGCATTGGAATATCGATTGATCATCGAATTATATAAATCATGTTTTATCTCAATGTTAGGCGATGAACACAAACAAACATTCAATACTTCCCTTAATTGCAAATAAACCAAACAAGCTCTTGGAGTATTGTCTAACTAACTAACAATCTAGAACAAGCTCTCAAGACTCGACTAATTAGCAGCATTAATAAGTAGGAAGTAGCTAACTTAAGCCACAAATCTCACAAGCTCGGATTCGTGCAACTTAAAGGGCTAATAATCATAGGCATCAGACAAGCTTCAGTTACCCATCAAACACCTAAGTGCTACTAAGGAATATTAATCCGGACAATTACGTATCACAAATCAATATTCTAGCAATTAAACTAACAAACTATACTAAAGATGGCTGGTCTAAAATATAGCTCAACTAATTCATACCAATACAACAGATTATCACTCCAATCAAGATATAAACATAATAAGCTCAATTCATAACATTCTTATTCTCACAATACAATAATCCAATGTATACTATATCTCCCTACCCACGACTAATCTAGCCTGACGTATTGAAAAGTGAAAGTATAACAATGGAAGCTATATAAATCATATTGCTTGAAGAAAATAAGGAGATAAATATAAACAAGTAAATGAATCTAATGATACTTGAAACAACTCCTTAATCTGATAATATCGAAATGATGAAAACAAAATTCACTTAGTACCAAATCACCAATTATTGAAATAATGCATGCAAAAATCATAAATTCACAAAGGAATCTAGAGTAATGAATACCAATTTTTCTAGAGTGAAAAATGGCGAAACATCCACGAACAACAAGCCTAGAAAACCGAAGCAAAGCCTTTGAATGCCTGTAGAAAATGAAGGATTACAGAACACAGCTAAGTCACCTCAACTTCTCCGTCCGCTGCTTCTCTTCACCGCTACTGCACTGCTTTACGTACCCCCGCTGCTCTACTTTACCGCCGCTGCTCTGCTACTCTGCAGCAGCCTCGCTAGCCCAAAAAACAACCCAACCAAGCCTCCTTCGCTGTTCTTCGCTCCCCCCGAGTTTGATGCTGCTGCTTTTCTTCTGGTTCTCTTCTCAATTTCGCTGCCCAGCAAGACCTCCAGATAAGCTCCAGAATCTCACCCCCCAAAAATACGGAACTAAATTCCCCCAAGAACTCCCCTAACAGAACGATAAAGAACCTTTTATTCATCTCAGCTGCTCCGAGTATTTCGCTCCCATCCTGAGCTGATTCCATCTCTATCTTTTCTTGCTTGACAATTTGATTCCAGAAATTTCGCTCAAGGTAGTTTGTTTTGTGTCTTATCGGCAAACAGTGAGAGCAAAGAAGAGTTTTGAGCTCTGTTACAGATTGTTATATTTTAAGCCCAACTATATATGTTTACCCAGTAAAATAATTTTGGGCTTGAAATACTTGAGAGTCAACAACTTGCAATTTGCTTCTCTTAACCGGAAGTGTCGTAAAATGCAATTTGTACCAATATTTTCTTTCCTGCACACAATTAAATAAAATAGTAGTAGTATGTGTCTCGAGAAGAAAATTACTTAATATATCATTAAACCATTAAATATCAATATAAAATCGAGAGTTTAATGAAATAAAATAATATACTTTTATTAAAAAAAATTATCTTATGAAATTAATGGTTTTATCTAAATACCCAATTAATAAGATGTTTTTTTTCATAACAAAAATTTAAAACTTATAACGCAATAAAAAAACTTTACCTTCTTTAAACATTTTATGTCTAAAAATTTGAAAAGACAGATAATTTGTTAGAGATCAAGAGATCGCAAGAAATATACAAAATGATATTTAGATTTGAGAGTTTAATTTCAAGTGTAAAAAGCAACGAATAATGATTTAGGATTTAAATTATTTTAAAAATAAAAAATTATTATCTTTTCACATTAAAGATTTTATCCTAATATGTAATCAATGAAATATCATATTTACAATTTTTTTTTTAAAGATATCATATTATTGTCATATAACTAATAACAACGAATAAAATACAAAACAACAATAAATTAAGTCGCCTTATAAATTACATTAAAAAAAAAATTATACTTTTGTAATTGGCAATATCATTTTAATTAAATTAATTTTTTTTTTTGTTTGAAATTATTAAATTGTAAAATAAATCAAATAATTATAAAAAATAAATAAAAAATAAAAACTTAGAGTATATAGGAAAATATCTTTTCTTGAGATATCTGTATGAAAAATCGTGCATCGCACGAGCTTTCATCTAGTATATCATATCACTAATAAATAAAATCGGTCTCGCGGCTAGGCCGCGATACAACGCCACTTGACATTCCAGTTTTTCGCCGAGTGTCGCGCCACGTAGGAGATAAATAGGTATTATTGTGACACATATGATGCTAAGTAAGCGATTTTTGGATAGATTTTTTAAGATAAAATTGTTGTATAGAGTTTTATTATCGATAGAATTCTAATATTTCATATATACAAAATTAATCATAACTTTTAATAAATATCCTATAACTCAATTCTATTTCCATCATTAAATTTGTTTTAAAAAGTTCTTTAGAATAAGATCCGTTTATAATATATTTAATCACAAAACTTTTATACGTAGCTGGCCAAATCGTGTTACCAACTAATACTAGAGTTACTTCGTTAGTTCTATAGGGGTTACTTGGTCAGTGTTATAGTGGTTACTCAATTAGTGTTATAGATAGGGGTTACTTAGTCAGTGTTAGAGGTTACTCAGTGAGTATTACAGGGGTTACTCAATCAGTTTGATAAGGGTTACTTTGTCCGGCTAGATGGTATGACTAGCCGCATACAAAATGCATTGTTATTTAATTTAAATTTTAAATAATATTAGAGAATCAGTAAAAATAAGTTTTAATCAGTAAAATTAATTTTAATTTGGTAAAAATACTTTCAGTTCAATGAAAATAATTTAAGTTCATTAAAAATAATTTCAAGTTAATAATAACATAGATATTTATTTACAAACAAAAGTACAAAAAGTATTATTATATAAATATAAGCCATTTGATATCACATGTCTAAATATCCTACATCATCAAATCAAATTAGTTGACCGTATATAACATTAAAGTAAAAAATGTCATTTTAAAATTTTATCAACCATCTAGGCATCGCCCGGGCACAAAACTAGTATATATATAAAGGGGAGTTTTTTTCCCAAGATTTTAGAGCGCCACATAGTATTTTAATTTTTAAAAGATTATTAGAGCGCCACATAGAATTAGTATTTTTAAAACGCGAATTATGCCACGTAAGATAAGTTTTTTATAAAGCACTACGTAGGATTTTAATAAAAA